CAGAGTAAGTCCCTCATCTCCAGTACTCAAGAGCTATATTAGAAATAGCTCAAAGTAAGGTAAAGCTCCATATATAATAATGTTGACATTGGATAGTGACATTGTTCAGTGGATGGTGTTCCTTCTTTTGAGAGCAGAGCATTGGAATTTCATTTTAATGTGTGCTATTGTGTATATAGAATAATGATAATAAAGGTTTATCTTATCCTATCCTATCCTATCCTATCTTGAACCAATACATGCAGTTACTCTAAAGGGAACTGTAGAATCAAATTCTTGTGGGGGGGGAGTAATAACATTTTAGCAAATTAGCAAGAACATTAGCTGGGAGAGTAATAGCTATATTAGCTATTATAATTTGCAGCCTGCAATTAGTCCCATTTACCAAATCTCAGATCCAGCTCTGTAGTCTAATGAAAATAAAATGCAGAAATGCATATGATGCCCAAACTCAAATGTCTTTGACTGTAAGCTTGAGTGTACACACTAACTCTTCACAAACTTTATGTTTGTAACACTGAAGGTAATTGATGCCCAACTGCATTTACGAACCGATGGGACCTAAGGAATAAAGAAAGAATCTAAAGAAATCCTTTATGTTCACAACAAAATATATTCTTTATATGTATAAGAACCTCATTTCTGCTTTTGAGACTAGAGATTTCAACTAAATATTTTGAGCATCTAATACTAGGAAATTCAATATGCTTTAGACAGCCCAGAGAAATTAGGACTGTGTAAAGTATTGGTAATCCTGTTGAATTGAACCAATTAATGGAAATCCAAAAAGGAATTATTTTTGGAAAACTGCAGTATAGTATATATTATAATATAATGTATAGTAGCAAATGTGTCAGCTCAATTCATGAAAGGTATTTATGAAAGGTTATGCATGATCAGGTAAAAGTAAACCTGAAATCAATAAAAGTAGCAATTAATGCTTTACACACACACACTTGCTCCCCCAGTAGAACACCTTTATGGTGGTAATGAGACATATTATTATTGTTCACAAAGCCACTTTTATGGTTTGATTATCTATAAGCAGGATAAATAATCTTCTGTTGTAGTTGTTATTCTCCTTGATTCACTTTAATATTTCAATGGAATCCATACCTCCATTTTTTTCCCTTTAATCTGTTTCCTATTTTCTCTCTCCACCCATTTCCCCTTAGATTTTATGTACAACAAAACTATTTATATGCATCTGAATCTTGTCAGGTCAAAGCAACCAGAACCACTCATGAATAGGCTCAAGTAGATATTTTATTGCTGATCACCTAGATTACAAAAATCTCACCAGACTGTGTGCCTTCTCTTGGGAAATGGCAGATATAGACCTAAAAGTTTGACCTCAAATGTTTCGTCTCCCAAACTGATTCCAAGCTGGAATGTCTCTTTACAGCCCCTAGAGGAGAATCCTTTTTTTAAAAGTACTCCCATAGTTAAAACCAACATTTTGAATTTTAAACTGGCTGTTGTAATGTCCAAAATTAATAATGAAGTCTATCATGTGACCCTGACAATCTCATGACAATTGGATTGAGGATAAAAACAGAAATAATTAATCAGTTACAGTATTTTTAAAATTAAATGAAAATTACAAAATAGCTTCAATAGTTTGCCAAGGAAATCACTATATACTGTATGCATTCTCTGCATTAACCAGAATATTTAAGAATTCAGGCTGCAGCCAAATTCTATGATAATGCTGAATTTCTAATCAGAACAGGAGCTTGCATCCAATTTTAATTAAACTGTGCTATCGCTTCACAAGAACAGTATTGCCTAAAGATTAAAAAGTTGGCTAATAGTTCACACTAACAGTTTCCTAGACTCAAATTCTATTCAACCAGAATTCAGTTTTAAGTCTATCACATACTGTAAATTATTTAAAATATTTCCAAAACCCTCTGGTAATGAAATCTACTATGTCACAATAAATTTATCAAATCTATAAGGTTGCCCAACACCATGAGCACATACAATATTAAAATTGCATTAAACAACACCCAACCAAACAATTATACATGACTGTCTGAGTTAAGTGTCACCAAACTACATCTAGACATAACATTAATACTTGTATGCATTGTGTGTCATTTACAGAAAAAAAAACCTGTTTTCTGTGCAATGAATATGTAATTAAGAAAAGCAGCAGTTTGAGTGGTCATCGTTCAAAACATTTTTCCACATATTTAAATTTCTAGAAATAATTATGGGAATCAACAACTGGACACAAACAACATATACTTAATTTGACCAACAATATGTGTGTTAGGCCTAAGTCCAAAGATGACACAGCAAGATCCAGTTGAGTCCAGTCCTTTATTTGCTTATACCTAATGGACAGAATCTTGCCAACTAAAGCTATAACTTTATAACCTACTGGATATAGTATATCCTGAAAGATTCTAGGGCAGGGCTTTTCAACTAGTGGTATGGGTACCACCTGTGGTACATTGGCACCTGGCAGGTGGTATGCGACCATCCTAGAAAAGTGTTAGCGGGGGAGGGGAATAAGCTGAACCGGTGGCAGCACTGCACAAACCTGAGCGAGAGATGGCTGGAGCTGCAGGGCTGTCAGGGCTCAGCGGAAGCGCCAGGATCAGTGCCAGGCTGCAGCTGGAGCTCGGCGCTGATCCTGGTGCTTCTGCTGAGCCCTGAAGAAGCACCAATCAGCTGGAAAGCAGCACTGATCCTGGTGCTTCTGCTGAGCCCAGAAGAAGCGTCAATCAGCTGGAATGTTGCAGCATCTCCAGGGTCTTGTGATTTACATTCAGATGCTTGGCAGCTGATTCATATTTATGATGGTCACAATGACCCAGGGTCATGTGAAGTGACCAAAACCTGCTGCAACCACCCAGCAGATGGGGGGAATAAAAACCAAACACCCCCCACCCCACCCCCGCTGCCAATCCCCAACAGAAATGCTCACAACAATGAAAACCTCGGATAGGAGCAGTGGCGTAGTGTGGGTTGTCAGCACCCGGGGCAAGTAATTTGCGCCCCCCTCCACAGTGGGCGGCGTCGGCGACCCGGCGGCTCGGATCAGATTCGCACAGCCAGCACTGCAGAGAGAGTGAGTGAGCCAGGCAGGGGCAGAGAGCTGCGAGTGCGAGCGCGCCCCCCCAGATGTTGCGCCCGGTGCGGCCGGGCCCCCCTGCACCCCCCACGCTACGCCTCTGGATAGGAGGAAGAGCGCTGCCGGGCGGACAGGCAGGTGTCTTGCTCGGCTGTGGCTTGGGGGGCACTTTTTTCAGGGCCGTTGTAACTTCGAACAGTCACTGTTGTAAGTCGAGGACCACTTGTACTTTATCACTTTTTTCCTTTTTTGGGGGGGGTCATCAAGTTTTTGACACCTTGCTAGGCAACTGGTGGTACTTGGATGTTGCCATATCCTAAAAGTGGTACAATGGGTGAAAAGGTTGAAAAGCCCTGTTCTAGGGTGTGACTATACTGAATCTCTTCCTCCATCCCCTATCCTGCTCAGGACTGTGCAGTCTCTTAATCTGGGCTCCTCTCTGGGAAAGCTCTGTGTTGCCAAAGCTCTCCCCACTGCTTTTCCAGGTGCACATTCCGTCACATCATGCATCATTTAGCATGTGAATCAGCTCTGTGGCTGAAACATATAAACACATAACTTAGTGGGAGATGTACAAGTTTCCTCTTTGTATTTCATATTAGATATGAAAAAGCAAGTCATGTTTTCTCTTTATCCCTTTCTGCATGCCATGTGGAATTGATCAGATTCCAGTTGTACCCCATTTCCTTGGATGTTTCTAAATTCTGCCATAATGCTACTATATTAAAATTAGGTGTGTATTGACATTCTCTGCTTGCAGGATTCATTGACTGAAATAGAAACATCCAGTGGTGGAATAAAAGAATCCTATTATGACCTTTTGAACTAAATCTAACACTCAGTTTAGATTTTTAGTAATATCAGTGGAGTATAGTGTTTTCAAATTTCTGCCATTTACTTTTAGCTAGGCATATAATCATAATTTTAAACATCATAATTTTATTCTTAGTTTTTAGATTATTCTTAGATCAAGTTTTAAATATTTTTAGCTTAATATTAATAGCATATTAGAATACCACACACCCATACAAAGAAAAATTGTTATTTGCTTCATGATATTGTTGTTTGATTGATTCTGGTTTTTATGCTGGCATTTGACCATACTAAAATGAAACTGAAATTAATCTCATTTCATGCAAGAGAAAGAGATTAAGAAAATTATGGGAATTCATTTTTAAGCATACATGGCCCTTATCTTTTATAACCTACTTATACTGCGGAAAAGAAATGCATTGCTCTCGTCTCCTCATCCTGTTACTACACTTGCTTAAGAATCAATCTACTATATTTTAAAACATTTCTCTTATAGGAAATTATAGAAGAATTGATAACCAATAGGGGAAAAATAAATCAATAAGAAACACATTCTGCAGCTTTATCCATATTTTTAAGCAGTTCCACTTTCAATTAAGTGTTACTGTAGGAAAAAAGGCAGGATTTTTCACACATTGATAACTAAAGATTCATACCTTTACAACAAGTCAGTTTTACTTAGAAAGTGCAAGAACATTAAAATGAATAAAGTTGAATCTGAAAATTCTGTGAAAAACGTGAAATGCATTTCCTTATATTACTACTTCATGTATTATATGTATGTGGATAAATTACGTTGATTAGCTATGAATTAAAACAGGATATGTGTAATATCTGTTACTATGGAAGTTCTCAACAAATAGTTTGTGGTTCTCATAATCTTTCCAAATAAGTTCTTCTATCTGTTTGAGAAAGTTGGTTTTAGAGAATCTCAGTCCCATAGCTCATAGGTAATAAGAATCATTTGTTACACAATTCCTATAATGTGTTAAATATTATAACATACCATTCATGCTATATGTTATCATTGTTAAAAAGATACAGTATATGCCAATTTAAGTAGAGGAAAAACAAAGCACTTGGTGGGGGGCAAGAGGATTACCTTTCTGTCACTCAGTCCAGACACCTGGTCAACATATTCTTCTTGGATCATAAAGGCAGCCAAATTGGCAGTGTAACTGGCCAGAAAGATGACAGCAAAGAAGGCCCATACTGATACCATGATCTTGCTGGTAGTCCCCTTTGGATTTTGCACTGGCACAGAGTTGTTGAATACAAGGCCCCACAGTAGCCAGATAGCTTTACCAATAGTGAAAGATGGACCACCAGGCTCTGAAACGAGCAAAATATAATAGAAAGAGTGAGACAACTAGCACAACAAATTATTCTGAGTAATGAATGAAATGAAATTTTAGCTTTTCTCCAATATCAGATGTTATGCTGTTGGCTAAGACTGTGATAAGACTGTGATAAAAGTCAATTCTAATCCAAAGGAGCTGCATTAGCTTGCAGCATAATTTATGTACCGTGGGCACAGAAATGCAATCTCAGTATTAAATATGATTTAAATTAAAATCAGCAGTCTGATCTAGCTATACTCATTAGGCAGTAGTTCATACATGACAGAACTTGTTAAGTCATTCCATGTGTTGCAATATGGATGCATGTCTATGCATGTTTAAGAGTTTGTGAGGGGTCACTGGTGCTCTCTGAGGTTGGTTGTTTTCTTGCAGACTATCATTACCCAAATGATGTAACATTGTCCGTACATTGATGATGTTACCTATTTTGGGTAATGAAACATCTGCAAAAAAACAATAAGCTCAGTGAGTACCAAGGAGCCCCTCATTTCAACCCTGAGTTACAAATATTCTCCTTTAAGAATTTGTGTATTCTAACATCTACTTGAATGAATACATTGCATAAAGCAGGTGCATATATTCTTTTTTACAACTCTTCTCCATCAATTGTTGACAAGCTTTTGTAACCTGGTGCTTAGAAATATGCTCTCACAACCAACATGACTGATGGCCAAAATAACTAGAAATCTGGTTGTTGGAAGCTTGATATATCTGAGTGTGTCAGATGGGAAGGCTGAACTAACATATTTTCTTGGCTATTAAGAGACATCTTTCATACATTATTCACACTTATAAATAAAGAAAACACATTTTGCATACACAAGATATTGTAATTGGAAATGTGACAATCCTAAAATGGAATAGTTGCCTTGCGAAAAGTTGGGTAGGTCATTCAAAAGAAATTAGTGAATAGAAACATGAACTTGGAGTTAAGACAGTCCAATGAAATTGAAATTTGGATTGAGAGGCTTATTGAATAACCCAGTCACTGACATCCTAATCATCAAACCCTGGACTGTTGGGAAGATAAATGCAATTCATTATGAGTACCCCAAAGAAGGATAACAGAAAAAAAAATCACTTTGTTCTGTATTAATAGGGATTATTATAAACCCTGAAAAACTACTAACTGCAAGCCATTCCAGCAACTTAAATAATTGGTAGGCAGGGATTTACAGTATGTGCAAGTCAAGCCATAAACCAGATACAAATATGCTATGCTACTCTTAGCACTTTTCATTATAATACAGAAAGACAGATATGTTTCTCATAATATTTTTCTTAGATATTTAGGAATACTCCCATAAGGAAATATGATTTCAAAATGGTACAGATTCTGTAATGACCATGGAGATATACTGATACTTACATACATGAAAAAAAATACACACACATGAAAAAATGTCCTTCATTTTTTAAAAAAATAATTGGCACCTACAATGTCATTATGATTTGAGTCAGAATTATCCTTTCAGTGAACTACAAGATAAAAACAATATCATCAATATGAAGCATATACAGTAGTTGTTACTGGGATTACATTTATATGAAGGGTTTTATGATGGAGGGGGTAGAAGTGCTGGATTCTTCTCCTTGTAACTAGGCAACAACATTCTACTTTTCTTCATTCTGTTGCCCTCAACTGTAAGTTTTGTCTAGGCAGTTGGTGGTCTTTTTGCTTGCTGCTTGCCTACTAGTAAGCTATTTGACTTGAATCTTCTTATATATTCTTGTATCACTTCATATAATGATTTTTTTACAAAGTCCACATAGTTTTATACTTACTCATGGTGTAAAGGAATGGTTGTGCAAGCAAGATTTTCTTCAGTCACAGTTTTCCTTTCTTCATTTGTACAGAATTTAGTTGAACCAATTCCCTAGTGTCTCTTCACCATACTATTAATACATGCAGCAACTTGGACTGACTTTCAGTAAGAATTGAATGAATGTATCTAATGACAAATCTGGCTTCTCTGTATACAATTCAGATGAGATGTTATTATGAGAAACATTCATTTTGCATTTCATGGCTCTTTGAAAATTCAACAGTGAGGTTTTTCATCAACATTAATTTTTGCATACAAATTAATTTATCTAGCGGCTGGTAATTTGCATTTTTAAAATCTGAATATGCAAGTATAGGCCATTTAAAGAAAAGAAATACTGCAACATTGTAGACTTCCTGCTTGTTTATTACACTGAAACACTATTGAAAATTGTGCATTACTTCAGAGTTATGTAGTATAGAATTCCCGTGTGCTATCAGCATTTTTTTAAAATAAAAGGCGTGCTGGGAGTCTGATAATACAAGCATGATTAGGATTTTGAATGCATATTTATCTTTAAAAACAAATGAAATGCCTTTAGGGATCACACTATGGTTTACCTTGCCCTTAATGCTTTCTAAATAGTTATCAGATGCTGATAAGAAATGTTTCATGACCAATCACAGGTGATGGATTGCTTGCTTTTGGTTTACATGGGTTTCCCGCTCCTTCATTTGTTAGCTTATTTTGTTCCACTTCTTACCTTACTATGCAAAAATTTTAATATGCACAAAAAGTTAAATTTAAGATTTGAAACACATTTTCTCACAACATAGCATATTTATGCAACTACCTTCCTTCAAAAATAAATATTTATTTTATCATAAAATAAAAAATGTTAGCATAAGGTTTTTGACATGTTTATTTGTTTTTGCCCATAGCTGCAGTGCAACATTTATAGAAATTTAAAATCTAAAGCATAACATTATTTCAGTGACCACATTATGTAAGGAGTGCAGTCCAAATATGTTTTCATGGAATACACAGAGAACAAATACCTTTAAAAATTTTACTATATAGGATTACAAAGGAGTGGATGGAAGTTTCACAGAATCTTCAAACATATTATTTTGAAATAAACCACTAAACCATTTCTGGAGCAATTAATTCTGAGAAAATTGTAGACACTGTTACCTAACTACAACCTAAAAATAAATGAAAGTTAGTAATTATGTTAAGAATTGAAAATTTATAATATTATATCATCATCATCATTTTAGCCATTGTCTATCCACTGCAGGATGAAGGCCTCTTCCGCATGTTTCCAACCAATACAATCCTGAGCTTTCTTTTCCCAATTGGGCCAGGATACTTGCTGATGTCATCAATCCATCTTGTTTTAGGCCCTCTTTTGTGGATGCTTTTTATTAAGTTGGATCCATTCTATGACTGCCTTGGTCCACCTGCCATCCGTTCTTCTTGCTATGTGACCAACCCATTTCCATTGCAATTCTTTTACTCTCTTGATGATATTGTATACTTTCATTTGTTCTCTAATCCATGTGCAGATCTTTCCATCTTGTCTTGTAATGCCAAGCATGTATCTTTCCATGGCTCTTTGCGCCACACATAGCTTTTCTATCGATTGTGAGGTTAGTGTTTCACCGGCATATGTTAGAGCAGGTAGCACATACTGATTGAAAACCTTTCTCTTCAGGCATAGAGGGAGGTTTTTCTTGAAAATTACACTTAGCTTGCCAAATGCCTACCAGCCACATTTAACATGACATTCAATTTCCTTTATTGTATCATCTTCCATTGAGATCCATTGGCCAAGGTACATGTGGTGGTCTACTACACCTAGTTCTTCTCCAGATATAAAATGTGTTCTTTCTTTAGTATATTTATTAAAATACACTAAACTTGCTCTTACTTCAGGTTTATTTTTAAGCCAAATGGTTCTCCTGCTTCGTGCAGCTCTTACATGTGTCTTTGTAGCTCTTCTGGGTCTTGTGAGAAGAGAATAACATTATCTGCAAAACTTAAGTGATTTAAATAGGCACCTTTGATTTATATTCCATCTTTTGCCCAGTCTAGTTTGTGAAATACTTCTTCAAGTCAGGCTGAGAAAAGGATAGGTGATATTGTATTGCCTTGTTGTACACCTTGTTCTATGTTGGTTTCCACTTTAAGATCATTAAGGCAAATTGTTGCCATTGTTTTTTCATATATTGATTGTAGTAATTTATGTAAGCAGTGTCTACGCCTTGGTTGAGCAATGCATTATTGCTTGTGGGAATACTGAGTCAAACACCTTTTCATAGTCAATGAAAGCCATGCACAGAGGGATGGTATACTCTTTCTTTTCAATGACTTGCTGAGCAACCTAGATGTGATACATTGTGCTATAGCCACATTATTATATACACACTTATATAACATGAGAATAATCTTAAACACATTGTTTTCTATCAAGAAATACAGTGTTTGCTGGTCATACATACAATACACAACACCTGGACAAGAACTGTAACATTGCTTTATTTTAGGATTTGGCTAAAATTGTATTATAACTGTCTTTTTTTCAAGATGTAGAAAGATGGTGACACAAATCTGCGTATGGCAAATTTGGTAAGCATCTGAAAAGATATTCCAGTAACATTTCTTTCTAAATATGTTAGCACTATTGTCCTAGAGATAAACAGAACATGCTAAAGAGAGGACCATTTAACAGTTTAGAGAAACCACATAGCACCCACTTCTGTTCCTTTGATCTAGTATCTGCCTTAGTCCTCTGATCATAAATCAACTGGTCAGTCTTGCTCCCTTCCTTTTTACTTCTCCCCTTCCCCACTATTATAGAGTTTCAGTAAATTTTTCATCTTTTGAATTTATTTCATTCCATTTCTGCATCAGTTTGAAAATACTTGGGAAGATGAACAGAAGCAAGGCTAATAAATAAATCCACTAATAAAAGCTTTCAAATGTTCATCAAGTAATTAGGGATACAAATAATATGCAATATAACAAAACAGGAAAATGTTATATACTTTTAGTACCTCCAGCTAAATTAATATTTCAATTTGACAATAATGACTTTACTTTAGAAACATTCCAAAACATATGCAGTGAATTTGGCTTTTAGTTTCTAATCTTGCTAGAAATGAACATTTCAGTATTGTGAACTGCAGAAGTGCTTTATCATCCAGAGATCCATCCAGATTTGCTGCTGTTTGTGGAGTTATTATTCTTTTTTTTTTCTTTAGGCATGAGGGAAAAGATCTGTACATGGCTGACTCCTGGAAAATATCTATTTATGTGGTCACTAAGAATTGACACCAACTATGGTTGACATGTATATCAATGGAGAAGAAGTATATTTCTATCCAATGTGGATTATAAAGATTGCATTATAAAATATGTGTCTCCTTACCTCTGCCATCTGCCAGACACCGATTGTATCCCACAGGGCTGAAGTACTCAAAGACAAAGACAGCCACCGCAGAGATTATAAGCAGCATTACAAACATCATCACCCACACATCAGCACTGAATGGCTCTGGACAGAAAAGGACAGGTAATTATTTCACAGGAACCTTCCCAGCAGATTCTCGACTGCAAACCACCAGACATCTAATTATATCTTCTAAAATTGTTTGACTAAACTTATAGACAAATTTTATATATCATTTAAAATGTTGTGAACCAAACCTCACAGTGACTAAACCATGTTGAGTTGGTCTTCTTATATGTCTATTATGCGATGGTGGCGAATATCTGTAGTTTGGATGTAGGATGAGGATGGAGGTTTGTTCTCCAAGCTTGTGGGTTGGTTTCTAAACGTTTTGTTACCAGGCTAGATAACATCTTTAGCGTAGTCCCCTAAACTACACTGAAGATGTTTCCTAGCCTGGTAACAAAATGTTTGGAAATCAACCCACAAGCTCAGAGAACGAACCTCTACCTTCATCTGTTACATTATTCTAGAAATCAGGGGTAGGCAACCTCGGCTCTTTTATGACTCATGGACTTCAACTCCCAGAATTCCTGAGTCAGCTATGCTGACTCAGGAATTCTGGGAGTTGAAGTCCATGAGTCATGAAAGAGCCGAGGTTGCCTACCCCTATTCTAGATCTACTAGTTATGGGATTGAAGCCCCATTAAGCAATATTTTAGCAAAAATATATTTGGTTTTACCTATATGTTTTCAAGTATTTCTGCCCCATAAGAATTTGAAGTTGGCTTTTATAAAAATGAATGCTGAAATGTATAGGAAGCTAAAATATCCACTCAGTATTACATTCTGCTATCTGACTTTCCCAAATTGCAGCAATCTCAGCATTCTGCCTGAACCTGCATTAATCACAAAGACCTACTTAATCATAGGGTTGTCATTTTTTTCAATCTCCAATTTTGTGTCTTTAACTAAACTAAATGCAGAAGTAGAAAAAGGATCCAAAGAAACTTAAGCACAAATAAAAGTTTGTGGAAAATAGAGGAATATATCCTATTGATAATCTTCTTAGCAGTTTTCAGTGTCATTAATCACACTAGCATTCTAAATTTGCTATTCTGGCTGGATCTGGGAACATATATGATGTTTTACTCCTGTATACCAAAAAGTCTTTTTTTTTTCTCCTGCTTACTTTTGGTTTATAAACTTGGAATAAGTGACTCGATTTCCCAGAACAATTATCTTGATATATGATTATGTTTCTCTTTCTATCTAATTCCTAGAAGGCAGCAGAACTTCTAAATCAATATTTGGAAAATTGGGATAGGTGAAGTGTTAAAACATTGAAAGTTTTATCAAGATAAAACTGAAATATAGATCAATAGAAAAGTCTACCAATGATTAATGATGTGATCTATTTTGGAACAAATAGCTCTGTTTCCAAAGAATAGAATTCAGAGTGTCAGGATGTTGTTGGATTTGGACTGAATTCTAGGTGGTCCAGTATAAAGCAGTAAATGGGAGCATCTTTCATTATATTTAGCTAGTGAAGAAAATGCACCATTTTTGTAGAAAAAACATAATGGCCTATTTTCATACATATATCATATATATCAGTGGTGGCGAACCTATGGCACGGGTGCCAGAGGTGGCACTCAGAGCCCTATCTGTGGGCATGCGTGCCATCGCCCCAGTCCTAGGCCTTCATCTGGGTTTTATAGAACCTTTTCGCTTTAGGCCTCCGCTGCTGTGTCCCCCCCCAAAAAAAGGTTCAATCAATCGGTCAATTTCAACTTCTCGTGGGCTGGTGTGGCCAGGGTGGGTGCGGTCTACTGGGTGGGCGTGGATGGAGTGGGTGTGGCCTACTGGGTGGGCATGGCCAGCTCTACATCGTTCGCATCAAGGGTGCCTGTGGGGGCCTGGGCAGGAGTGGGACAGAGCTGAGGGACTCTGGCAGAAGGGGGTGGGACCAGGGCAAGTGCCAAGGTATGGTCCACTGGAGGAGCCTCACTGTTCCTCTCAGGCCATGTGGGGGAGCTGGATGGTGGTGCGGGCTACCCGGAGCCCTGGGCAGCAGAGGTCAAACACCCAGCCTGGCCCTCAAGCACCCGTAGCACCAAGCCCAGCCCCACTTCCCCAAGGGGGTGCCCAGCTGCACTTACTTCCTCCCCAAGGCTGCTGCTGCTGTGCTTGTTCTCCTTAGCCAGGTTGCTCATGATGGGTACGAGGGCAAAGTCAGAGGGAGGCCCATTCCCTCTGCAGGGGAGGAGACCCGGCTTTGTATCCAAAGCTTCCTTAGCAATAGGATGGGAGACCCCCAGGATAGGCCAGGAGGAGGGGGCAAGGGGATGGTGAAAGAGCAGCAGGGCAGAATTAAGGCAGGACTTCCCTTGGACCCTCCCTCTCCTTCTTTCCTTCCTTCCTTCCTAAGTACAGAGTGGTGGGAAAATATTTGAGATGAGGGAGGGAGAAAAACAGGCAAGAAACGCAGGCAGGCAGCGGGGCGCTCTCCTCACAGTGCCGAGAGGTTGAGCCGGGTGGTGCAAAGCTCACCAGCTTTGCACCTTGCTGCCTGCTGAAAGAGGGCAGGCTGGGGACTAGGCAGGCTGAAAGAGGGCAGGCTGGGGACTAGGCAGCATTGCACTTCTCATCAGATTTGTGCCACCCAGCTCAGCCTCTCGGCGCTGTGAGGAGAATGCCCCACTGCCTGCCGAAACCCCTTCCCTGGAGCCCATCAAGCCGGATATGTGAAGTAGGTGAGGGCCGTTTGCTGGCCACCTCCAGGCGATGGTGCATTTCTTCATTCCTCGCAAAGAGTGACACCTCCCCAGCATGCACCCAGGGGGCGGGGCCAATGCGGCAGGGGCTGGTTCTTCGCTGTTTCCAGACAGCCTTGTGAAGCATAGATGGCCACCACAAAATTGTACATTGGCTCCCAGCCGGCCTGGGCCAAGGCAGTGGGGGCCGTTCCCTCACTGTTTGCAGGATGGCTTTGCGGGCCACATGAAACCACTTTGCGGGCCGCATCCGGCCCCCAGGCCTTGTGTTTGACATGTCTGGCTTAGAGTTTTTCCATGCATAATTCCAGAGTCTAACAAAAATTGACATAATTAATAGACTCCTTATAATGCTATAATATGCAACATTTTTAGGGATTGTCTAAATTATTTTGATGATACATTTCCTCTTATGTATTTAAGAGACTTGCGTGCTGCTGAACTCCCAAAGACATTTGGGAAACTTAAAAAAAACATTTATTACTATATCATTGTGTTTTGCTCTGAGAGCTTTGCCAAAATGGGTTTTATAAATCCCCAAAATAGACTGCTATATTCCAGAAATAAACTTCTGCATTTCTTTACATACAAGACAAAGTAATATTTCTGCATGGCATATTTCTGGGGTTACCATCAAAACAGTTAGAAATCTTATTGTCAGAACATTTCTGAAAAGAAATTATTGGCAGTTCCCTCCCTTCCATCCAGGACATAGCATATAAGCGTTGCTTGAGCAGGGGCCATAAGATTGTCTGGGACACTACACATCCTCTTCACAACCTGTTTTCCTTGTTACCTTCTGGTATGAGGCTCCATGGCCGGAGCAGAACATCCAGATTCAGTCACAGTTTCGTCCCATACAATATTAACCTTGTGAACTCTAAAGCTTCTTCTTTCCGTTATGTATTCAAGATGGACAGTGATTAATATTTATATGTTACTTATATGTAAGGGTGTAGGTCTATACATATGTTGTATATAGCAGGGGTCCCCAACCCCCAGTCCATGGACAGGTACTGGGCCGTGGCATGCCAGCAACTGGTCCGCACAAACAAGCAAAGCCCCATCTGCAAGATGCAGGCAGAACACAAAACCACACACTCCGGTCCACAGAATAACCTCTCTCCACAGAATCGATTCCTGCTGCCCAAAAGGTTGGGGACCTCTGGTATATAGGATGTTTCAATGTGTGTTGTGTATGTGTATACTTTGAGAGCAAGCAACTAAATTTCATTTTTAATGTGTGCCCACAGTAAAAAATGATAACAAAGGTTATCTATCTACCAGGCTTAAGGAAGTAAAGGTAGAAGAAAAACTGAAAACATTTATTTGAATATAGTTATACAATTCTATTCACTAGAAATATCTAGTATTTCTAAGTTAATTTCTTATTCTCTTATTGGGTGTTGATTCCTGAATTTAACTCAAGCTAGAACTTCAACAAATCCAAGATTGCAAATAAAAGTATGCTTTTTTATTTAATCAGAAAAAGAACTGCCAACATATTTTTCTCTGCACTTTGCCTCCAAATAATGGTTTACCTAAAAAGGCAGAAGGTGAGACTGTTCCATTGCTTCGTGACACCATTACACTGATTCCTGTCTCAATGAAGGGAACAGAAAAATCTACCACTTCTGAACGCTCTGCATTTATGGTGAGGGATCCCACAGCCATATAGGCACGTTTGGCAACCACCTAGGAAGGGGAGAAAGAACAAAGATTATGTTTGACAAACAAGCTCCAACTTTTCTGTTCCTCTTCACTTTTCTACTTCCCATAATGATAGAATAAGGGACTGAAAATTATTTAAGAATAATGGAAAGTTTTAAAACATCATATAATTCCAATATTCATGACAGTAAGTTGAGTGTGTAAGCACACATGAAACACAATGGATAGACACATATGAATAAGTATCTATATAACTGGCCTAGGTAAATATAAAGTATGTAATAAAACAGGAGTGTCAAACTGCCAGCCTGCGGGCCAGATGTGTCATGCCAAAACCGCAGCCACCCCATTGCCAGCAATGGAAAAGTCGCGATATGTCGCAACACGTCATGTGACGTTGCAAGTTTGACACCCCTGTAATAAAAGAAGTTTCCAATTTAAACCATGATTTTAATGACAGGAGAATGAATGCAAGGAAAAAAGTAATAATATATTTTGAGGAATGAAAATTAAAAAGAAATCAAATGAGAAATATCTCATTATATTAGAGTTAGTCAATGTAATATAGCAATTAATAGGACTAGGGAGATCAAAATTTAGGTACACTTTAGTCTTGGAACAAAACAAATGGAACCAAAGAAAAGTATGTGGTTCAAGAATCAATGTACATATTGGAATGTTCTGAACTGTAGTTAAGAGAAAATATTTCCTAGTTTAATACCAAGTATGGGAATGAAACACAGAAGGTATACAGTGATTAAAGATTACATTGTCTTCTCAAAGATGAGGCAATTGATAGTGCCTCACATGTTCTGCCCTTTGCCAGATGCCCCTGGCTCTACACAGTTGATGGCAGTATCTACTTTTGGATGGTACAATATGAAGAAAGAGAGGTGATATTTCAATAGCTAAATATAGTTTCCGTCTTCTCCTCTGATATGAAGATAAAAAGTAGTTTCATTACTGCAAACAAAATAAAGGGGACTTTACTTTTACTGCCCCTTTTTCCCTATCCTCTTGCAGGACAATACTTTTTTTATTTGCAGGTTTTTTTTAAAATGTTTACAATTGTATAAAGCAGGGATGGAAATCTGTGGACTTCCAGATTTTGTTGAATTGTCAGCAGCCCTAGCCAAGTATGGGAATGATGAAAACTGAATTATAATTCAGTGTTCTGTGCGTGTATTGTATGTCTGTGTGTGCATGCAAGCACACTCATTCAGTTTTGTGAAAAGCCTACTTTGGGATGAGATAAAACTTCAGTCTTTCTTGGCTTACCTCACCAATCATTCCATTCCATGTTCCATTGACCTTCTTTCCATGTTTACCATTGGTTACCAAATAAAGATCATAGGTGAACTTCACAAACTTGGAAATTTTTTTAAGAATATCAATGCAAAACCCTTTGCAACATTTCTTGATATAGGCAGTCTCTTCATCTGTTTTGTTTCTAGCAGAAGACAACAAGTTATATTTTTACAGAATAAAAATATGCTAAATATATAAACAAAAAGACATGGTCCATGATTGTCATCATGTTGCATTTAAACTTTTTTAAAAACTTTATTTTGATAAAGACCACATAATTTTTAAAAGAATTCCCAGTCTTGATTCTAAACTGAAATTTAAATCTAGCTTTCAAAGATAACAGAAACTGAACCTCTTTATCAGAAATATTGAAAAACAAATATGATTTTTCTTTAAGCAAAAGCACAAAATTCTTGCCAAAATGTGGTTGAGAATTGAATATTTAGCTTAATTTGTTAAAGAATTATCTCGGAATTTACACATAAACTTGCATAGTAAGCACCCAGCAATTTTTGAGAGATAAGAGTTTGGATAGGATTCCCTCTTTTCCCTTATATACTTTCCCCTGATTTCCAAATACTAGCATATCAGCTTTGGAAGAGAAGAGATAAGGGGAAAAAACTATGTAAGAGAAAAAAATCAAAGGGTTATATAATTGTAATGGAGTTTCTTTACTGGGAACAATAAAGAACGATCTCTTTCTTACTATACTGGTCAATAACCAGTTCTTCTTTACTCAGATCTGTATAAATTACAAATATGAGTAACAAGTTACCTGATGATGGAAACTAATGATCAGAGAGCCAGTGAAGGTATTCATGCTCCTTTAAAAGCTACACATTATTGGACTGAAAATCAAGCCTCTAATACTTAATAAAGGTGGCAGGGTGCACTAAAACACTTGAAATGTGTCGCGAGGCCACAACAGTGGACAGTGCACATTGAGTGAAAGCTGATGCCTCTAGATACAGGATCATTGCATCAGTAGTGATAATTCCTGCCTTGAGCTTCACATATCATAGAAATAGCTGTGGATACTATAGAACAAAAACATTTAAGATAAAATGCAATGGCTCACTATAAGCCCTTTGAGGTAGACCAGACTAGGAAATCGGTGCCCTGAAGGTCATTATTTTATAATAAAGTGTTAGTAAGCAAAGCCATTCCCTCTTTCCTCTGCATGTATCAACACCAGGATGGAGGAGTTTGGAGGAGAGTTCAAAGGGAGACAAAAATGAGAGAGAATCAGTTATCAGTTATCAAACCTGTTAATCCTACCTGCATAGGACAGTGAGTGAGAAATGTGAAGGGGTTCTCCAGCTGAGAACAAGGTTTAAACTTGTGAGCATTTACAGACAAGTTTTCTAAGGATTATTTTAAGCCTCTGGGGGAATAAAACAAGATAAAACTCTCCTGAGTCAGGAAAGAGAAATGGTACTTTCATCCCATAGAGATCTCCACATGGAATTGTATCATCTGAGTAAGTGGAGGAATTGAAGTATGAGTAACAACTGAAGATGCTGTTCTCATAGAGGGATCCTAAATTCAGAGAATAAGTTTTTAAATGGTTCTGTAAGGCCCTGTTAATGGGGATTAGATTTGAAAACATGAAGTCCTCCCTAAACGATAAAGCACAAATATTGGGTGTTGGATGGCAGTAATTTGTGGGTGCAGGTTTTGCGGTTGTAAAATTCACCTTAAACACCGTGCAGCTAATTTATCAATAAAATAACACACGTGCTAAATAAGTAAATAAAAATAAAATAAATAAAATAAAACACTGCATAGCAGAATTGACTCAGCAGATGCTTTGGATATTTTGGAAATGTTATTACTATGATGACCAAAAGAGAACTGAGCAATAGGTGGAAGCCAAAGACAGAGCTATACAAGGAAAAGGTTGGTTCCTTTCCAGGTTCTTGAAAAATAAGCAGCACACAAACAAAATAAGTTAATTAAAATATAGCCCTAAAAATTTCACATAAAAATATCATGCAAGGATATTGGTGTGATGAAATTAGATTTATTCTGATACTCAGAACTAAGTAAAACTTCACTTTTTAATTCCCAGTTTTTCCATAGCTGACTTTGCATTCCTTGATGGAATACTGTACCATTTGAGTTAAGGTGGGCTCTGACCCTGCTGGACTTTCAGAAAACCTTTAAGATCTGGCTATTTTCCCAGGCAAGAGGGTCAGGAGAGCAGGAGAGCCCATGAAATGTGATTTTATTAATTTCCTTGGTTGCCATTTTATGCCCCATTGTGTTTGGTTCTAATTCTTTTTATGTTATTTTTGTTTGTACAGATTTTTTAAATGTTGTTAGCCACCCAGAATTATGTTTACAAGATAAAGGGCCATAGAGGTCTAAAAATAAATAAATAAAATAAAATAAAATACCCACCACTGAATGCAGGTAATGCTACAGAGTGGAGTGAGATAAAATGAATTAAATATGAACAATGTAGCTGTATTGTCACTGTTGCAGGAAGAAACATGCTGAAAAGAACTAATTATAAAAGATTTTGTTGCTACCTACTCTGATACAATTCGTTTTTGACATGGAACTGTGTTCCTCATACAGGTGCCACTTAGTGGGTCCACATTTTCCACAATAACAAAAGGTGCTTCTTCAAGGGTCACTATGCTAAGATGGTCATCCTCACGTTCCTCACAGTTAGGATATAGCTCAGAACGTGGCCACACGTAATACTTCATTTTGAGGCGCTTGTCCTTCCACCATCCTACCTGAAATGATACACAGAGAAAGAAAGGTATCATTGCTAAAATCATGCTTCAAATTTTAGTTCACAAGGAACAGCTGCATACATAGCTACATAAGGCAGAAAAATAATGTCTAAACCAAGAACTCATCAGGTCTATTTATAGATTTCATGTGCTTGTTAGTATCATTTATATTCTTGTTTTCTGTCAGTCATGCTCAAGACAACTAATTATAAACCAGATAATCAAAACCAATAATCTAATATATCTTTATTACTTTGAATCTATCCCACCTTCTGAACCAAGGAAAAAGAGTTAGAATCACATCCTAACAAAAAGAAAAAATGCAACACTTTAAAATAAAAGTTCATCTGAAACAGTTCTGGCTGTTTTTCAAAAGCAATAGAGCTAAATAGAACCTGTCTCAGAAAAGATCATTGACCGTTGACAAAAAAAGACCTTCTTTTATCCATCATGCATCTAATATCAAGAGGATTTAAAACAAGGCCTCAGAAGCAGATTTCAACAACAGGTTCAGGTATGAATGAATGATTTTTTTCAGAGGAGCTGTTAAATGCCAGGGGCTTTAGAAATCAGAAACAGCGTCAAGCCAATTGCACTGGAATGCTATAAAAGATGCAAGCTCTCATTTGAGGACTTGGCTTTGACAAATCAAGTTTAAAGTCTCTCCCTTACAGAGTACTTCATGTAATTAAGCATGGAAGTAAGTAGGGTGGATAGATAGATAGCTGAGGTCAACTTCAATTTTTCCTGGGAAGTATACAGTTAACAAGCCATTAGCTAAAATGCCTGCAGCCATCACTGTTTTTAACCTCTACTATTCCAAGTGAATGGTAGCTGCAAACTTGATTTTTAGGATAAATTTGAGCTTGTAAAAATCATCACATGTGAGTTGGGTTGCCAAAGAAACAAACAGATAAGAGGTTGTATACCTATTCTTATATGAAATGTTAGAAAAACAAGAAATGTTAGTGGACAAAATTCATATTAAAATGAAAAGTTTTCCATATAAAATCTCTTTTCTAAACTAAATTTATTGAGTACTTGCATTTCTTAACCATTAATTTGATTTTTTTCCCTCTCAAATGTAAAGCAAGTGGTTAGTTTTCTGAAGCATATACTAACATTTTAAAGGGTGCTCAAATGAGGTAGTTGTAAAGTATGAAATACTGTATAGTTACAATTCCTGAGTTACTACAACTACTAAAGATTTTTCATATCTATTGAACGGTAGCTTTTTAAAAAGAAAATGATTTCTTTCTGTGTGATTGAATTAGGACTGATGATCCCCAACATGCAATATTTCTTTAAGAAATGCCCAAATATCATGTATAGCATTTTCACACATAAAAACTATTGCATTTGTACCTGTATTCACTATCTTCTTTAACACTAGTTATAATCTTGGTTAGTAGATATCATCCAAGAAGCCATAAGCTCAATGAATCTAAAACAAACTCATTTGCTGTAGATGCAGTTCTCTACCTTCTCCCACAGGGCTTCAATTGAGGCAAACTGACAGCAAGGGTGGTGTGGGTGGAAGGTTGCCATCAACTCCAGTTGTTCACTCTGTATCTGCTCTATGAGTTTCAGTTCCCTGTGGCTGTCAATTCACTCTTTTCTGCTACATCTGTTGTTTCAGAATCACTAAACAAAAACACCTTTTTTAGTTTCAAGAGGTTACTTTAGTATAGTCAAGAATTTTCTGGTGTTTTAATAATAGCATCCAATGCCATCATTAAACATTTATTGCTTCTTTAAACCCATGATTTGATTTTTAAACTATGTGAATACCTTATTTCAAGAAATAGAAAGTCATTTATATGCATCAATGACATTCTTACAAGGTCCCAAAGGATAGTGATTCCGTGACAATAGAAGACTTAAGTCCTGAAAGGCATTAGGTCAACTCTTCAGTTATTTCAGGAAGTGGTATGAACAGTCTTTACTTTCTCTTAAGAAGCCACTACTATCATTTCCAGAAAAACTGTTTCTTAATGTTATTTCATCCCACTTAACATCTCATTTATTTATAGTGTTAAACAGATATGTAACACATATGTTTGTGCATGCCAAAATCTGTACAAAAGAGGAGGAGATGGGAGTTATCACCATTATCCTTTGAAAATTTTGCCTTAAAGATGAAATCAGCCACAACTATTTATCCAGGCAATTTCTGCAATGTAGCTAATACAGTTTAGGACCCAAAATATGAAAAAAAACCTTATGATTTAATACCAGTTGGGCCATTATTAAGATCATCTCCTAATTTCAGGGACTCAAACAGTATTCATCTCTCCACAGAGCTGGCTTTTGTGATTGTGTTCTGAGACAATTATAGAAGTACATAGTTCTATTTAACTGATTTTATTACAGGTTGATAAAGTTTTCTTTAAGGAATTAATAAAGAGAGATGTCGAGGCCACCCAAATATCAGATTGTAAAGGATTTCTTTGGCTCTAGGCCAGCCAACTTAAAGTGATCAGGCAATTGCTTTCTTTAGTTGGCTTTTTCTGCCATTACTTTCTTGTCCTCTCCTCAGAAGACTTCCCTATCTTTCTGCTATTTTTTGCTATCCCATAGAATATATCACTGAAAAGATCAGCTAGCCATAGGTATGTTAGAAATCTTTTTCCAAACACTTAGACATTACATTGGTCAAAAGAGATTAATATTGGTTGTAGAATTAATTAGCATGAAAAATGTTTTATCATGAGCCTAGAGCTAACTTAAAGCAGGATGTGCTAAACACCTTGCAGTTATTAATGGGATTTCATTTGACAAAATAGGATAGCTACATAGCCAAAGATCATTACTGCTTCCTCTTATTTATCAAAGTGGCTATACAAGAATTTAATGTTATAAGGAGAAAATGATATTTTTACTGTGTACGCTCACTTATTTAAATACAAATAATCATTTCCCAGAAATGATTCTTCATTCTCCATACTATCTTAGATGGGCAACTATCCCAGATTATACAAATGTCATAATTTTGTTAAGAGGTTATTAATTACTGGTTTCATTATTGCTCAATTTCCATGCTTTCTACAACTGCTAAAATCTTGTCCTCTGACTTAATCTGAAGAGGTTAAAAAGGTACATGATAAAAGCTTCTACGTTTAGCACACTGGACTAAATATAATGGCACATTAGGAATAAGGGTTTTGGGAATTATGGATGGTACCCTCCTAAAACTATTTCCATTTTTTTTAGTACTATGTATGCAGTGGTGGGATTCAGCCTGTTTTCACCACTTCGGCAGAACCGGTAGCTAATTTTTTGTTGCCCAGGCCCAGAATGGACTTCCGGAAGCAGCATCTACACAGAGAACCGGTTGTTCACATATTTGAATCCCACCACTGTATGTATGGTTATACACCTATTGCCACAAGATATAATGGAATGGAATGACATGATGCTCTGGATTCAATACAATTTAAAAAGAATTAGCCAAAGTAATAGTGGATCATTCTGTAATTGTTACTATTTATTCGGCTTTATTAAGCTTTTAGATGGAGATAATACTACTTGAAAGTTAAAATAAAAAATACAATTGCTCCAAGCTATACTTGTAGAATTTGCCAGATTGTGTAATAAATAAATATTTGATCTTGTTCTTCAGAGCAATAATTGCATCTCACAGCTTTCCCCACCCTGGCATCCCATTTAGTAGATGTGATTATTTGGATTTCATATCCAGCTCATCTGCATGGTGCCAAATTGGGAGAGGCTAACCTGTAATATTTATAACAAAAGTCACAATAAAGCAAAATTAACAAATGCTTCTTCATCTAGTTATATATATTCATATAATATTCTTAATGACAACTACAGTATTTTACAAGCACATTAATAACTTTATAAAAATAAAAGCATAATAGTCAATGAATATAATATTAAACAATACAGCAGAAAAATACTATATAAAATGTGTAACTTATTGCAGCATGTTACAGAAATGTTTATATTCTCAGGACTAATCTATGGAATCTAATAATTATCATATTTGGCAGAAGAGAAATATATTTATTGATGCAAACCAATAGCACAAGCTTCCTTGAAAATTCTAATAAATAGAATGCCACAATTAAAGAATTTTCCTTCTCTATATTCCTCTACCTGAAACTGCTCAACTTCAGCAACTGAACATTAATTATCTCAGAGTTATGAAAAAAGCATATGGAATGAGATTGTCATTTGAATATTCTGGGCCCAAGCCATTTAGGATTTTATCAGTCAAAAACAAAACATTGTAGGTTGATGACCTGCCATATTATCTTACCATATTGTTATGAAATCAAAGTAATCCAATAAGTAAGCTAATTTTAGGCTAACAGTTACAAATTACTTTACTCCTTTTTGTTTTTATGTATTTAATGTATTATTCAATTGTTGTATGCTTCCCAGAGTCACACTGTGTGAGATGGGTGTCCTTGTAACTGTAATAGATAAATAAATAATATGAGTTTCACTAATGACACTAAATCAATAATAAGGTTTTGAAGGCCCTTAAAAAAAGCTTTAAGCAAACATTCTGAAAACCTGTTCAATATAGTGGTTAAGGCAATCAGGAGATTGTGAGCTTTAGTCCTGCTTTAACACAAAGATGGCTAGATGACTTTGGGCCGGTCATTCTCTCTCAGTCCAAGGAAGAAGGCAATGGTAAACGACTTCTAAAACTCTTGCCCAAAAAACTTTTAGCTGTCTTTTAGAACAAATTTTTATTAAGTAAAATATTTAATTACAGAGAAGGAACAGGAAACTATACTAGAAATGTTATAAACATCGGATTCCTCATTATTTGGCATATACAGGTAATCCTCAACTTACAACCATTCATCTAGTGACTGCTCAAAGTTACAATAGCACTGAAAAAAAGTGACATATGACTGTTTTTCACACTTGCAGCATTCCCATAGTCATGTGATCAAAATTTGGACACTTGGCAACTGGCTCAAAATCATGATGGTTGCAGTATCCTGTGGTCATGCAATCACCTT